TCTACATTTTTATCAGGTAAATTACCCATCTCTGTTTCATTAAGGTTTTTTCTGGGGTTTTATCTTGTTCTTTCATTTGGAAAATATTCTTCTGTCTCCTCATTTTGCTTGGCTCTCTGTGTTTGTTTCTATGTATTAGGCAAAACAGTCTTGAAGGAGCAGACTTGAGTAGGAGATCAAGACTTATCATTAACCTTGACCTAGCTCTTGGTCATCTCTTAATCATTTGTGGTTGTCTAAGCAGCCTGATTTTTTCTAGCTAGGTCCCAGTTTTTGAGGGTGTCAAGAACTTTCTGATTTTTTTGGATCCCTGGGATCCAGAAATATAATACCCCTTGCCACCAGAGTAAACCACTCAGTGGGTATCCCCATTATGGGCTGCATGTGTGTGCTGGCTTTGGTGGGGCCACAGGAGTAATGCAGGGGCAGTGTATTTGCCTGGTCAGGTTTGGCGAGACCGTGGGAACAGTACAGGTGCAGGGCACTCACCCAACTGGCTTTGGTGGAGCTGTAGAAGTGGTAGGGCTGAGGTACTTGCTTGGCCAGCTTTGATTGGGGCCAAGGGAGAGTCTCAGATGCCAGACATGCCCCCTGGTGCTAACAGGTCAGAGGGAGAGTGCAAAAAAGGTGTCTGCCAAGCCCGTGCTAGCAAGGTAGAAGGAGAAGCAGAAAGGGTGCCCACCAGTGCCGGTGTCCCCAGAGAGTGTCGTAATAGGTTCTTGCCCCTCCAGCAAATGCTTTAGGATTAACAAATAAATCTTCTTCACATATGGTCTAGGCAGTTTTCAAACTGCTGCTTTTGTGCTTGGTCCCAGGGCAAATGAGTCTGTGTACAAGCTCTTAAAGAAAGAAATCTCCATTCCCTATAGGCCTGTGGTTCTCCTGAACATAAGCCCTGTTGGTTTTCAAAACCAGGCATCCTGGGAGCTGTCTCTCCAGTGCAGGTCCCAAGAGTTAGCATGCCTGATGTGGGGCACAAACCCCTGACTCCTCAGGGATAAGCAGTACATTTGTGAGATCCCTCCTGCTTGTGGGTCACCATACTGGGGATGGGGTTTGGGGAAGACTGCAACTCTGCCTCTCCTACCCATCTCAATGTGACCCTTTGTTGTGGAGGAGCTGATCTACTACTGTGAGTATATATTTACCTTTAGCAGTGAGATTTTTTCTTTTGTAATTTTCATATCTCTAGCTGTGGTCTTTTCATTTCTTCTTAAGAGAAGTCCCTTTAGCATTTATTGTAAAGCCAGTTTTCTGGTGCTGAACTCTTTTAGCTTTTGCTTATCTATAAAACTCTTTGTCTTGCCTTCAAACCTGAATGATAGCCTTGCCAGGTAGAGTATTCTTGACTGTAGGTTCTTCCTTTCATGACGTTAAATATATCATGCCACTCCCTTCTGGCATGCAGAGTTTCTGCTGAAAAGTCAGCTGATAGACTTATGGGAATTTCCTTGTACATAACTAGTTGCTTTATCCTTGGTGCTTTTAATAGTCTCTATCATTAACTTTTGCAATTTTAATTACAGTGTGTCTTGGTGTGGACCACTTTGATTTGATCTTGTTTGGGACACTCTGTACTTCCTAGACCCGGATGTCTGTTTCCTTTCCCATGTTAGGAAAGTTTTCAGCTATCATTTCTTCAAATAAGTTTTCTGCCCCTTTCTCTCTCTTCTCCTTCTGGGACCCCTGTATTGCAAATGTTAGTATACTTGATGCTGTCCCAGAGGTCTTTTAAACTATTGTAATTTTTTTTAATTCTTTTTTTTTCCTGTTGTGCTTCAATGAGCCCCACTGCTCTGTCCTGCGGTTCACTGATTTGTTCCTCTGTATCACCTATTTCACTGCTGATTCCTTCTAGCGTATTTTTAATTTCAGTTATTATATTCTTCAGTTCTACTTTTCTTTATGTTTTCTAACTCTTTGTTATACTTCTCACTGTGTTCATCCATTCCTCTCCTGAGTTTGTTGAGCATCTTTATATTCATTACCTTGAAGTCTTTATTGAGTAGATTGCTTGTCTCCACTTTGCTTAGTTCTTCTTCCAGGGTTTTATCTTGTTCCTTCATTGTGACATATTTTTCCATTGCCTCATTTTGCCTAACTCAGTTTTTATTTCTGTGTATTGGATAGGTCAGTTACATTTCCCAGTCTTGGAGGAGTGGCCTCATGTAGGGGTTGTCCTATGGGGCCCAGCAGCACACTCCCCTCTGATCACCAAAATTATAGGCTCTAGTGGTGCCACCTGTGGTGGGTGCATGGGTCCTTCTATTTTGGCAGGGCCAACTACTGTGAGTCCACGGGTAGGTGGGGCTGGTCCCGGCCCCGGTGGCTGCCAGTGGGTCCTGGGGGCAGAGCCGTCCCAGGGCTGGTCCCAGCCCATTGGTGGCAGGGCCATGTGCCAGTGTGGCTGGCTGCTGAGGCTGGGTGGTTTCATGGCTGGTGGGTGAGGCTGGGTCCTCGGCCTGCTGATGGTCAGGGCTATGTCCCAGAGTGGCTGGCGGCTCAGCCTAGGGGGTTCTTGGACTCGTGCCAGCTAGCCAGGGGCCAGTTAAGATTCAGTGCTAATAGACTAGAGGAAGTGCTCCAAAACGGCACTTGCCAGCGCCCGGGGCCTTGTGGTAGAACAAGCTCCCGTAAATGGCTTACGCTGTCATCTTTTCCTGTAGGGGGAATCCCTGTTGCCTCCTGCCTCTTCAAGAGGCTCTCCAAGATTAGCTAGTGGGTCAGATCCAGGCTCCTTTCGAGTTACTGCCTCTGTGCTGGGTCTAGGAGTATGTGATATTTTATGTGCACCCTTTCCCACAGCCCTCCAGCTCTCCTGTATGCTGGCCTTCAAAGCCAGAGATTCTGGGGGCTGGTCTTCCTCGTGCAGATTCCCCAGGTTGGGGGGCCTGATACGGGGCTCAGACTCCTCACTCCTTGGGGAGAACCTCTTCAACTGTGATTATCCTCCCATTTGTGGGTCACCTACACAGGGGGTGTGGGTCTTCTCTGTCCGTCCTCTCATATTGTGTTTCCTTCTCTGTATCTTAGCTGTGGAAGACCTTTTCTGCTAGTCTGCAGGTCATTCTCATTGATAGTCGCTCTGTTTGGTGTGCCTGTTGGAGGAGGTGAGCTCAGGGTCTTCCTACTCCGCCATCTTGGCCACTCCCTTACAAAATGGTTTTCCTGAAAATAAGTTACTCAGTGGGAAAAGCTGACCACTGATGGTCAGCTAGTAACATAAGGGTGGGACAACCTTGTCCACCGTCATGACCACTAGGTAGGTGACCAGGCGTTGTCTTCATCACTGTTACTACAGCCACTTCCTTGAACTAAAGGAAAATTTTCCTTTTGACACTCAAATCTCTGGACAGAAATCACGTTGTGTTGATGCTGCCACAGGCCTTCTGGTGCTCTGTTGTGATCAGGTGATTGGATTCCCCAGATTCAATCCAATTCTGGGACTAGCAGAAGCAGAGCACATGTGGGGAACTTTAGCCGGGGTGGATCTTGGAGGAGAGAGCTGCACTCTTTTTTTTTTTTTTTTGCGGTACGCAGGCCTCTCACCACTGTGGCCTCTCCCGTTGCGGAGCACAGGCTCCGGACGCGCAGGCTCAGCGGCCATGGCTCACGGGTCCAGCTGCTCCGCGGCATGTGGGATCCTCCCGGACCGGGGCACGAACCCGTGTCCCCTGCATCGGCAGGCAGACTCCCAACTACTGCGCCACCAGGGAAGCCCCTAAACTTTTTAATGTTGCATTTATGTTGGTATGTATTATGAGTGTTCCAGAAATTGCATGAAATTCCTAAAATCTGAGACGTCCTAGTATGTTATCACTTGTAATTCCAGTTATTATCTTAAAATGTTGTGTGTGTCACAGAAATAACCAAATTTCCTTATCAATTGCATTGTAATGAACTCTAATCAGATCTTTAACCATGGCTATTTTAAGTCTTTTGTTATTTACTTGTAGTTATTGTTTTACTCTGATGCTTTTGCAAAAGCGTTCCTACAAAAGTGTTTCATCTTCAGAGAAATTCATAGAAAGGATTCTGACAGGTACTCTAGAATACAGATTCCTGATAACTTTCAGATCATACCACAAAACTGGGTAAGAATTTTCAGAACTCTAAGGAAAAACTAGATTCATAGAATTGCTAACAAAAGATCGAGATCAACAATAATTAATTACATAGGACTAAATGAACTGATAAAGATCATTATAATTTTTGGTGATGACTTTTTGTTTGAAACGTTGCTGGTTCTCTTATGTTTTGTTTTTCCAGATTTAAGGAAACCTGTTTTCTTTCTCTTGAAGCTATTGACAAGTTAAATCAGTTATACCGTAGTGAACAAAGACGAAACCTTTACTTTTTCTCCCTACCCAATCCCTTCAAATTTCAGAAACTCTTGAGTATTCTTTTCATGCCAATATAGTTTGGTGTTTCAGTAAGTTCAATAAGAGTCTGTTCTCCTTGTAACAGAACACAATAACATTGGATAGATTATCAAAGATTTTTTATTAATTAATTTACTTATTTATTTTGACTGCACCAGGTCTTAGTTGAGGCAGGCAGGCTTCTTAGTTGCAGCATGTGGACTCTTAGTTGAGGCATGCATGCAGGATCTAGTTCCCCAATCAGGGATCGAACCTGGGCCCTCTGCCTTGAGAGCGTGGAGTTTTACCCACTGGACCACCAGGGAAGTCATATATTACCAAAGTTTTGAGTAGAATGTCATATTTAAAAGAGATGTAGGGACTTCCCTGGTGGCACAGTGCTTAAGAATCCACCTTCCAATGCAGGGGACGTGGGTTCGATCCCTGGTCAGGGAACTAGATCCCACATGCATGCCACAACTAAGAGTTTGCATGCCACACTAAGGAGCCTGCTGGCCACAACTAAGGAGCACACGTGCTGCAACTAAGGAGCCCTCAAGCTGCAACTAAAGAGCACATGTGCTGCAACTGAGCCAGTGAGCTGCAACTAAGGAGCCCGTGGGTTGCAACTAAGGAGTCCACCTGCCACAACTAAGAGCCGGTGCAACAAAAATAAATAATAAAATAAAATAAATAGAAAATTAAAAAAAAAATTCCCAGCTCCGTTTTGAAAAAAAAAGAGAGATGTATAAAGGCTCAAATTGACCAGACAACTTTAAGGAACTGCTTGAAAAAATCAGCCTGGTACCTTGCTTACAGGGTTCCCAGCAACCTTACCAGGTGAGTAAGGCAGGTAACTTCCTGGCAGACCCAGGAACCTCAAGAAGAGAGGAATTTACCCAAACTATAGGTATTGCAAGTAAAAACTGATGGTGAGTTCTTGGCCTTAGAGGCTTTTTAAGAGTTCAGTCTGAGATTCCTTATGAAAAGTGCCAGTGAAGCAGTCTCAAAAAGAACGTGTATGGTCAACTATTCTTGCTGCACTTATGTAAATAATCAAGCCAAATTCGATACAAACAAATTAAGTTTTACTGTGATTATCCTTGGAAAATAAGAAATGTGGATGGTTGTAGAGAGAAAAATTATTTTTGCATAATCCTGATAATTGCCTTTGAGGTTTTGCTATATACCTGTTAATTGGACTGGATCTTGAATTCTTCTAGTTTCCTCAAATATCTGGCTACAAATCTCCAAACTAATGTTTCTAATTATCTCCCACCCTTCTGATTTAGAATCACTAAGAACAAAGACTGCCCTTGGATCTCCTTGGAAGGATCCAGGTCTTCCTCCTACTACCCAGACGGCAGCCAAACTTCAGGAACTTGAACCTTAGATATATAACTCACAGCTGAAAAAGGCTCCACCTGTCATCTGGTCCTGTACAAATGCTGGAGGCCACCACATGAAATTGACTGGAGAGAAGCAGCTGACATCAAGGTAGACTTCTTCCACCAAAGATGTCGGATCGGGACTTCATACTTTAACTAAATATGAAACCTTTTTTTTCTTCTCTTTCTTTCCTTTACTCTGGCATTGGCCTAGTAAGATGATGCCATTATCCATATCTCCAAGACCATTGCTAAAGGGGGTAAGTTTTCAGACTGCTGGATTTGTCATTTAAAAAACTCTTATCTGTCCATGATGCCAGGGTCACCCTGGTCCATTTCCTTATCTCTGGTTAACAGCCCCAAACTTGGGAAACCTTGTGTCCAGGCTCTATGCAAAGAAAAGTACATGAGGAAAGGGTAACCAGAATAAAACTGCCTGTGTGGTCTACAGACCCTTTTACTGGCCTCCATGGCTGTCACCTTTCCAATCCTGAGCCAAAAACTTAAATGGGAATTACCAGGACGCATTCAATTTTCAGGATTCGCTTCCTTTGAAGGAAGGCCCTACTTCCCTGGTTAGGAGTAAATGTAAATGAGGCTGTGATCAGGAACCTCTTCTTAACTCTTGAAAGTATTATGGAATCTGCCACTAAAGCAATAGCTCAGAAAAATTCTGAGACTCTGGCCAAAGTTGTTTTTGATAATAGGATAGCCCTTGATTATCTTTTAGCTGAGCAAGGAGGTAACTGTGCTTTGGCCAACACCACTTGCTGCACTTGGATTAATATTTCTGGGGAAGTAACTTAGTTACATAAGAACAGTTATATAAGATCACTGAGCAAGCCACTTGGCTTAAAAAAGTGACTTCTTCAATAAGTCTTTCTTGGACTTATTTGATTTTGATTGGTTTGGGTCTTAGGGACCATGGCTCTAGAGTGCACTCCAAACATTGAGAATTATCTTGCTAATTACAATCATAATCATTTCTGTGGTGCACTGTATTCTCCCAAAGGTTTTAAATACGCGTTCATACGCATTCCCAGCTGCTAACGACCACGCAAATGATCTCACTAAGATAAAGACACAGACCTACTAGAGAATGGACTTGAGGGTATGGGGAGGGGGAAGGGTAAACTGTGACAAAGTGAGAGAGTGGCATGGACATATATACACTACCAAACGTAAAATAGATAGCTAGTGGGAGGCAGCCGCATAGCACAGGGAGATCAGCTCAGTGGTTTGTGACCACCTAGAGGGGTGGGATAGGGAGGGTGGGAGGGAGGGAGACGCAAGAGGGAAGAGATATGGGAACATATGTATATGTATAACTGATTCACTTCGTTATAAAGCAGAAACTACCACACCATTGTAAAGCAATTATACTCCAATAAAGATGTTAAAAAAAAGAAAAGAAGGAAAGAGAATAACCACTTAAGTATTATGAACCTGAAGCCATGACCTGTGACCGTCACGGGGATTAGACAAAAACATGATGAGCTATGGACACCACACAAAGGATCCACAAAAGTGACCGGTAGCTGAGAGTGGTGCTGATGCCTTAGATTTTGATCGCATCTCTCAGTTAAGCCAAGAATTTGATCAAAAGAGGGGAAATGTTAAAAAAAAGAAAAGAAACAACAGACCCCAAATGCAGTCACTTGTGCTAAGCCCTCGTCACCAAATGAAGATTTAGTACCTAACTTAATTGTAGTTTCAACCTTCCCCAGGAATGTAATCTTAACCAGTCAGTCTGGAATTTCCTGGTCAGCACCAGTGAGGTAGTATGCCTAATAGACCCTCTTATCCCCTCAAAGAAGGTAACCCTGCCTGAAATCATCATTTTTGTTTGTTTATGACTTCCTTGTCCTACTTCTTCTCTGCCTTTAAAACCTTTTCTTTTCTGCTTGCTAGATGGGATGCCGCTTGGTTCGTGAATCATTTGAAAAGCCAATTAGATCTTCAAATTTACGAAGTAGAACTTTGTTTTTTAACATGGGATATTATACATGATGGGATTTTTAAAATATTTATTTTTTTGAAATACAATACACATACCATAACATTCACCTTTTTAAAGTGTACAGTTTAGTGATATTAGTATATTCACAAAGTTGTTTAACCATCACCAGTATCCAATCTCAGAAAATTTTCATCACACGTAAAAGAAACCTTATACCCATTAGGAGTCATTCCTTATTCCCCTCGTCCCCAGCCCATAGAAACCTCTAATCTACGTTCTGTCTCTATGGATTTGCTTATTGTGAACATCTCATAAATAGAATCATACAATATCTGGCCTTTTGTGTCTGGCTTTTTCCATTAGCATACTGTTTATAAGGTTCCTCCACATTGTAGCAAGTATCCGTACTTCATTTCTTTTTATGTCTGAATAATATTCCATTGTGTGGTTAGATCATATCTCTTTGTCCATTCATCAGTTGATGGACATTTTGGTTGTTTCCACTTTCGACTTTTTTGAAGAATGCTGCTATTTGAGTACAAGTTTTTGTGTGGACATATTTTCAGTTAGCTTGGGTATATACCTAGGAGTGAAATTGCTATGAAATATGGTAATTCTAAGTTTAATTTTTTAATTTTTTCTAAGTTTAATTTTTGACGAACTGCCGAACTGTGTCCCGAAGCAGCCATAACTATTTTATAACCTGTTTTATTTTCCTTCACAATGGATCATGACTGTATTCCCTTGTCCGTATGTAGAGGTATGCATCTCTAGTTTGAGTGAATGTGTAGTATTGTCTTAGCCAGCTAAGTATCAATATCACAGTGTATTTGGAGAATTCTCTTTTATTGGACACTTAATGATTCAATGAAACAGGCTTTAAGCATCCTCCTTGCATCCCCATCAGGTAAATGACACTCTTCCAGGTATACCCAGAGGACTTTGTATCCCTTTATTTTGGTGCTTTCACATTGCATAGCAAGCCACCCCTTCCCCCATCTATCTTATCTATTACATGGTGAGATCCTCTGGGCACTAGAACATGTCTTAAATTTATCTTTGTATCCATACTACCTAGCACAGAGGCAGGCATTTGATAAATGTTTGAAGAATGAATAAATAAAAGGAATAATGAATAAATGGAAGGATGGATGGTTAGAGCGAGGGATTATGAAGAGATGGAGTTCCTTTACCATAAGAACATTCTGTCCAAAGATCCCTGCGTGGAGAGGTAATGAATTCCCTGACCCTGGAGGTGTGCAACAGGAGGCTGAGTTAATTGGCAGGAATATTGAAAAGTTAATCCAGGCATCAAAAGGGAAATGGGATGAAATTTAAGATGCTTCCAAAGTGGAAAGCATGGAACTCTATGAAATAGAAGCTCAGGGAAGCTAAGAGATTTGCCCTAAGTTCTCCAGCTGGGCAGCTGTGGAGCTAGGAGTTGCTCTGAAAGTTTTCAAGTTGTTCTGAGGACCCCAGGCCAAAGCCTCCCCTTGTCTAAAGGCCTCTGTCTGCTTGTGTCTGCCTTGGGTAGCCCACAGCACACTAAGGTTAGAGTCCAGGAAGGGAAAAACACTTATGAAACAAGTTGTTGAATGAGTAGGTGGCTATCTGTAATCAGAGAGTTTAACCCAGACCCTTTTGATAAAAGAGGGTAGACTCTGGGAGGGTGGGGCGTGGAGGCGCCAACAGCCGCCAATTGCATCTTTGGGAAGGGGAAGAGCTTTTCTGTTGTCTCTTCATCAGGCTATTGGGTGGCGGGGGCAGAGCTGGCGGTGGGAGCTGGAGGGGGGCGAGAACTGGGGGGTGGACTCCTAAGGCCCTCTATGGGCACAGAGACCTGCAGGCCCAGAAGTTGCTGTCCTTCCACGATGTGGCCTCTCCTTCTGGTCCTGACCTCCCTTGCCACTTCCACAGCTTGGGGTGAGTCCTTCTGAAATGCAAATAGCGGGGGCATCTTTGGAAATCTTCCTGGGGGACAAGGTAGAGGAGATGCCTACAGGGCAAAGGAGTGACAGGCCGGGTTCTGCAGTAGCACGTGCCGTCAGGACTCTGAGTCTCTGCCCAGCCAGCCCCAGTGACAGGAGACAGAGAGGAAGGTAACCGGGCTATGCCACGTACAGGAGGGCAGCCAGCTAACCTCGCCCCTGGCAGTTGAGGACTTTGGCAAGCCCCGTGTATCAAGGCAACCCCTTGATTATTAGTCCAGATATTGCCAAAAGTGGGTTAGCAGAATATTGATATCCACTCTGGAGTCAGAGTGTGTGGGTTCGCATCCAGCTCAGCACTTAGTAACTGTGTGTTCTTCGGCGAGGGATGTCCCTTTTCTGTGCCTCAGTTTTGCATTTCTAAAATGGGGGTGACAACTGTATCTACCTCACTGGGCTGTTGTAAGGTTGAAATGGGTTGTTGTTTCTAAAGAGTGCCTGGAATGGAGAAAGAAAAATAAAGTAATTCATAAATAAAGGGGTTGTTTTAAGATATAGTATATTAATAGACAGTCTGAGGTGTGGTAAGGCCACGGATCAGGAGCCAACTGCCACTGAAAAGATAGTTTGTTACTCACAGCTCCCCAGAGGAGGGGGCGTGACACCACCATGGTGGGCCACAGGTGAGGCACCGGGTGCATCAGGAGGCAGAGGAAGGAACGAGGAATTGGGCGCAAGAAGCTTTATCTTGGTTGCTGGGGGCAAGGTCGAGGTGAAGCAGAATAAGCAGGTTTGGGATTGGCAAACTAGCCAATTGCAATGGGCTCTGGGGCTTAGGGAGTTCCCACAATTGTCAGGTACTTGGCCTGGAGTGATTAGGGCAGGATGATAGTGGCCAGATGTGGAGGGCCTGGTAAAGAAGGTAGTTGGGGTACAGGCTCTGGCACGCTTGAAGGGGAAGTTCATTCCTATCATTAGGGATTGGCGAACTCTGGGAGGGGCAGTCCCTCCAGAATCAGCAAGGCCCCAGATGTCAAGGCATCAGAATACAGAACATAAAAGACCTGGTTAATACAAGGGCGCAGCAAGGGGCCTCAGAATGCATCTGTGCCATTTTATAGGTGGGGAAACTGAGACTCAGAGAGGGAAATGTACATGCCCAAGGTCAACCGGAAAATCATGCTCTGAATTCTATCTCTAACTCCGGAGTCCAGAGCCAGTGCTCTGGCTGTCAGTGCACTGACAGCCCAGGCTCCACTGGGTTTTCTCTTCTTCCTGGGCCTATGACACTGTGAGAGGCCTGGAACTGAGGGTAAGAGCAGAGTAAGAACCAAATTAGGGGCAGATTATTCCCTTACTGCTGTTTACCCCCTGGCAGGGCCATGCCAGTTCTACCTTTAGAAAGTCCATACTGGCTGCCTCCATTTCCTCAGTTACTTCATCTGAAAAATGGGCATATTGATGTCTACCTAGAAAGGCTTTTGTGAAGATTAGTTTAAAGGAAATGGAATGCCCATGTAGCACATAGTAAGTGCTCAGTATACAAACATTACATATAACACAAGTGGTAACTGCTGCTGTTACCAGTATTGCCTATACCTCTCAGCCAATCGCCCACTTTTTCACCCTTGCCATTTGGACATCTGTCCACTTCATCTCTCTTGAAGGTTATCATCGGATTTGTCCGGAAGACCAAATCTGGGTTATTCTTTTCTATTCTGGCCACATACTTTGAGAGAGAGGTTGACCTTGTGTCTATATATAAAGGGGAACAATTGGGAGGATGAGAGGCTGGAAATCGTTTCCTGTTAGGATGCTTAAACAAACTGAAGCTGTTGAGGACGGACAAGAGAAGACTTGAGGGATGAGTATGAACATGGGTCACTAAGGCTGCCTGTCACATGAAGGTGCAGGATGTCCCAGAGCAGGTAGGACCAGGACTGATGTGGCAGCTTCAGGGAGACGCATTTCAGCTCAGTGGGAAAGAACTGTCTGCTCCACGAGAAGGGGACAGATGGAATCTGGGCCCATCTCGCTCCCTCTGGATGACCGTGCTCAGAGCCAGCAGAAGGGGCCTCTTCAAGCTGATTGTGTCACTCTCTTTTACTCCAGGACGGTTCACTGCTGCTCATTTACCCACTAAATAAAGGCCGAATCACTGGCCTGGCGTTTGAGACCCTCCCAGACATGAACCTGTCTCATCCAGGGTTATGTTCCTCCCCCATTACTCTTCCTGACCCAAATGGGCCAATCGCTCTTCCTCAAGCAGGTCTTGCACTTTGCTGTCGCAGAGCCTCACCTCTGCACAATCTCATCTCTGTTTATACCTTTAAGCACCCTCTTCCACCTCCCCTTGTCACTCCTTCCACTACTGCAAGTCCCAGCTCCAAGGTCACTGCCTCCATGAAGCCACCAGTCAGAAGGCCTCGCTCCCTCTTCTGTCTCCTATGGCACCTTACTTGGTACGTCTCTCAGGACACGGACCACTTTCTTCCCAGCAGTAGGGTCAGGTATGTATGTGGCTCATCCTCCACGTAAGGCCAGATTTCTGAGAAGAGCAACCTGCTCTTGTTCATCCTCTCATCCAGCGTGCAGCTCGGCACCAGCGTCCAGTGATTGTTTCTAGATGCTCCTAAGTGTGGAAACTGAATGCCTTCTTCATTCCCAGTGGCTCTTCTTTTTGCATTTATGTCTTATTTGATGCTGTTATACCTCCAATTCCAATTTGCTCCTTCAGATAGCACTGTGAGTTAGGAAGGACAGTTAGCTTCGCTCTCTCTTACATAAGAAGAAACTGAGGCTTAGAGAGTTGAGGGGACATTCAAGATCACGTGGCAAAAGTAACAAAATTCACCCAGAATCCAGTTCACACCTTCACCACTGACATGTTCTCATTTCCTCTCAATGTCCAGCAGGGCAACCACCCTCACTGCCTGCTGTGGACACCGCGTAAGGCAGAGTCCTGGGGAAATACGTCAGCTTAGAAGGTTTTGCACAGCCTGTGGCCGTTTTCCTGGGAGTCCCTTTTGCCAGGCCCCCTCGTGGATCCTTGAGGTTTGCTCCGCCGCAGCCTGCAGAACCATGGATCTTCGTGAAGAATACCACCTCTTACCCTCCCATGTAAGTCAAGGTGTGACTCTGGCATCTTCCAGTGGGGATGTTAGCCTCAAAGGGATGCAGGAAGGAGCCAAGGGGATCCTCTGAGTGGCTCATACTTTGTTCTGGAATCCTAAGATATTGTAGATCCTTACAAACATTTCAGAACTCTCACAGCATTCTAGAGCCATTTATTCAACAAATATTTATGGAGCATCTCCTGTGCGCCAGGCGTGTTCTAGTTTCCTGGGATCCATTAGTGAACAGAACAAAGATCCCACCCTCATGCAGCTTGCATTCTAGCAGGGAGAGACACACTGAACAATATGCAAAGCAATAGGTTATGTAATATGTTAGAGTAGGATAAGTGCTTTGGAATAAAATGAAGAGTTGAGCAGGTGAGGGGGATCAGAAGTAATGATTCTATTTATTCTCCTGTCTTGAACTTTGTTGTAGTTGGGGAGTGAGGTGGGCCAGATGTGTAGGTGGGGAGTCTTTGGGGTGTTGACCAGTCAAGTTCCCAACTCCCAGGTGTGACTGTTACCTAGTAAGGAGCAGAGCACTCGTTGGTGTATCCTGGTCACTCTGGCCATGTTGGGCAAAGATGTTGAAGTCATCCCCCAGGACACCTGGGATGTCTACATGCATGGATTCAGACCTTTTTCATCTCAGCAAGGCATTTCTGGGAATTTCCAGGGGCCTGTCTCTTCCTGCTTTTTTCTTTTCTTTTCTTTTCTTGTCCTTTCCTTTCCTCTTCTCTCCTCTCCTCTCCTTTTCTTTCTTTTCTCTCCTCTACTCTTGCCATCCTCCCTTCCTCCCTCCAACTCTCCCTTCTTTCTTTTCTTTATAATATTCACTGTTTTTATTTCCTGATTGCAAGTGTAATACATACTTATTACAGAAAAGTGAGGAAGTAAAGGTAAGAAAATGAAAATTATATATACTTCTACCACCTAGAGAGAACTGCCATTCATATTTTAGATTCTGTTTTTGTAGTCTCTTACCTATTGCATATTTTACCCCTTAAAATGTAACCACATAAGATTCTGCACACAATTCCAATGTTTGTTTTCTTTTTTCCACACCAACACGCAATTCTCTGACACCAGCTGGGTGTCCTACAATTCAACTCAATTCTGACACTAACCACCTGGAGACAGCATCATATTATATGGGTTAAAGGCTCAGTCCCACAATACTGCCCTCTGTTTCAGATGATATCTCAAGTCCAAGTTGTTACCTCTGCTTCTGATCAAATGGCTGTAAGTCACAGGTTCCCATGACCCCCTCCTTGGGTTCCATTAATTTGCTAAAGCAACTCATAAAACTCAGGATGCTAGTTTACTCACTAGATTACTGGTTTATTATGAAGAATATTAAAGGATATGAATCACCAGCCAGATGAAGAGATACATAACATGAGGCACAAAGGAGCTCCTGTCCTGTGGAGTTTTGGTCCCAGCACGTTGGCACTTGGAAGAGTTCTGGTTCACCAACCTGGAGGCTGTCTTAACTCTTGCCTTTTGGGCTTCGGTACTGGGCAGGATTGATGAAATCATTGACCGCTGGTGATTGATTCAACCGCCAGCCCCTTTCCCTTCCCCAGAGGTCAGGGGGGTGGATCTGAACGTTCCAAACCTGGAATCACATGTGGTTCTCTTGATAATCAGCTCCCATCCTTAGGTAAGGTCCAGAATCACCTCATTAACACAACAAAAGACACATTTATCACTCTCATCACTTAGGAAATTCCAAGGGTTTTAAGAGCTCTTTGCCAGAAATGGGAAGAAGACCAAAAATATATTTCTTATTATATCACAGGATACAGATACTTTGAATGCCTGCTTTGCTCATTTATAAATGTATCATGAACATCGTTATATGTCATTAAATATCACAGCCTGACATGATATTACACTGGGTACTGAATAATAATTTATTTACCCAATCTCTTATTTGGGATCGTTAAGTTGTTCTTGATGTTTCTGATAATATAATTAGCACCGTGATGAACATCATGTAGCCAAACCTTTATGCACATTCACAGTAGTTTGGGATAAGTTCCAAGAAATGACATTTCTGAGGAAAAGAGTATAACCTTTTGTTAAATTTCCTTCCAGAAATGTTCTAACTGCACTCCTTCCATTAATATATGAGAACTTTCATTCACCAGACCCTTGCCAATGCTTGGGATTATTAAAAAATTGTTTTGACTATTGGATAGGTAAAATAATAATAATTATCATCATAATTATATAATTTTAAAATTTATTCTGCAATTATCTGAATACTAGGGATGTTGAACTCTCTTTCCCTTTTTTAATTTTTGAATTTCTTCTTTTATGAATAATATGCCCTTTGCCTTGGTGATCTGGGGAAAGTTCTCCCACGATGGAAATCAAGAGGCTGTCTTTGCAGCTCTGACTCTGCCACTTGACAGCTGTTTCATCCAAACACCTCAGTGCCCCAGTTACCTCATTGACATACTGGGAGCAGTCATGCCTGCTTTCTGGAAATCTGAAAATGTTGCTTATAATGTCCTCAGAAACAAAAACACTACGTAGTATGGCTCTTCCTGGCTGTGTGACCTTGGGCAGGTTCTGTAACCTCTCTGTGGCTCAGTTTTCTCAAATGTAAAATGGGGATAATAGTAGAACCTATATCATGGAGCTGATCTGAAGATTAAATATTACCAATTATCTCTGTTGGATCTTTAAGATCCATTATTTGGGCAACAAATAGCACTTGACCAGATGGGTTGATAGAATCTTAGCATGTCAGTGCTGCAAGACCCTTACAGAAATCACTCCCCTCACTTAGACATGGCAGACTGGGGCCCAGAGCCGAGAAGGAATTCACCCAAGGTCACCCAGCACATAAGTGGCTGAGGCAGGACTAGAATAAAGTTCTCCTAATGTTGCACCACAAATATTTTGTCCTTGACCTGTTGCATGCCTTAAATGTCTACCAATAGAGTGACTTCTCATGGTTTTTGGAAGTATCCCATGGACTGGAACACCTGGTTTACCTGGTAGAGGAACGTGGTCACCCCGCACTCACTATGCAGAGCCCAGCAGAGAGTCAGCCACGACCAGGACATACAGGAAATGATCCTTTCCCAGGCATGTAAGCAGAATCCTCTTCTTGACACAAGGCATCCTGAAGGCTCCTGGAAGGGGAAGGTGCCAGGCCTTCTCACTATTCACTCTCCCGGGAGACCTTGGTGAGCCCCAGGTCCCTCCATCGTGATCCCCCAGGTAGCCTCCTACGCATTCCAGTGTCTGGAATCTGGTAAGAACAACTCTATTTACAGGCTTAATTCTCCCGGTCCAAGACCTGGCCTGACCGCAGGAGACATCTCCTTGGTCAGCTCTGATTGAACTTCAAGAATTCATTTCTCTCCTTGCCTCTCCCAGGTGCTCCCAAGACCCAGTGGCGGGGCAAGTGATCTCAGAGCTCTTTACCAACAGAAAGGAGAACATTAATCTAAGGTTTTCCGAAGACTGTCTTTACCTAAATATTTACACTCCTGCTGACTTGAGGAAGAGAAGCAGGCTGCCGGTAAGCAGTGGGAACAAATGGTCAAGGCTGGTGTAGACTGGAGGGGGATGAAGGCAGTGTTGGGTTGGGGCGTCTTGGACCAAGGCTGTTCCAGGGGCCCCAGGCTGTTCCCCAGGGGCCCCAGGACTTTCTTTACCACCACAGCCAAACCTGACATCAGGAAACACAGGTTTTCCACACCTCAGTTTCCCATAGTGACAGACATAGGGCCTCTGGGGGAGTTTGCTGTACATCTGTAATGAACATTTTAATTTTTC